GCCGCCCTTGTTTTTGACGCTGAGAGCCATGGTAACAGCACGGGACCATGAGGAGTAGTTGTCGCCATTGAAGGTCTCTGCGACAATTAGGGCACCGGGATTGTCCGAAGCGTGGAGATAGAACGGCGTCGAAGGATCGTCAGACGGTGATGTCGTATTGGCCATGAGATCGAGTGAACAGAGATCGACAGGAGTAAGTCGATGTAGAACAGAAGTAGATCGGAGTGGATCTAGGGTTACGAGTTTTCGATCGAAAAACCCGTAAGAAATCGGATTTGCAGCGGAAAAAAGAGAATAAACTGAGGATCAACCAGCGAATGATACCATATTGAGATTGAATCAAACAATCTGAGCTTGAATTTTACAGAGATTGAGAGAGGAGATTGAGAACTAGAGAGAGAGAGAAGATGAACCGAGAAACGGCGAGAGAAAAGGAAAAATGAATAATGAATAAAAATTAGGGTTTGTGTACAAGATAAGGGTATTTATACTCTTACCCTATAAACACACTTTGACTAAGTTGCTTTAGGAATAGTAGCAACTTCTATACAACATATAGCAATAACAACTCTAGTATAATCTATAAAATACAAATAGCAACTCTAATACAATCTATAAAATACAAATAGCAACTCTAATACTGAAAAAATGAGCACTGACAGAAAGTGCAATTTGTCCTACTCCAAGCCCACCAGCAACCAACTGGCTATCCGTAACTGTAGTACTAAGAACTTCAACTTTTTGATCTGAGGAGTTCAGATCAACTAACTCCAGCCAATCCCCTTTTGCCTTTCTCACCATTTCTACCTTATCAAAAGCTTTGCCATTGAATACGAAGTTATTCCTTGCCTTCGAAATATTCCACAGAAGATGAACTGACAAAGTAATCCTGTCTTTAAGATTATTAGCCTTGGGAATGGTACATATCTCTTCCCAGCAGACTCCCAAGCTTATGTTTGGATCCTACAGAATGTCCCACTCTAATCCCATCAATTTCTAGCAGATTCTTGATTTACAATATTTTAAGAACAAATGGTCTATATCACCTGCAAACTGCACGTCAGTTTTAAATGAAGATCTATTTGGAATCCAAGAGGGAATTCGATATCTCAATTGCTTTTCCATCCCTAACTTGAAACCTAATTCCCCTTCTAAATGAATCCATATCACCCGACCAACACTTCCACATCCAAGAATCCCCACCTTTCTTTCTAAAAATTTTGATTAGTAATTACCCTCTTGATCTCTTTAGTCAAAAGAGCTTCATTAAAGGCGGCTAGATCCCTAAAATTCAACCCCCTAACTCCTTAGACTGAGTAAGCTTGTCCCAAGAGGCCCAAATGGAACGCGCAGGGTCGAGGTCTGGCTGCACACACTGGCCTGGGGAGCACGCGTGTTCGTTCATGGCGGTTGTAGCTCTCGCGCGAGTCGAAGGTTGGCCCCGCACGTGGCCTCGCGTCTCTCAGCATTGGCGTGCATGCTCGGCCACCACCCGCATGGCTACACCCAGCCAGGGTTTGGCTCTCGGTTCAAGGTTCACAACAACACCAAGGGTTTTTTTATCATTTTCTCAAAAGTTTGAAAACAACACAACAACCAAACCAAACTCAGCAAAATATGGCTACCAAGTCCACTATATTCACAATTTATTTTTCCAATTTCAAAGATCTGAACTCCTTAAAAACAAAGGATCTAACACACAAAATAAAGAGAGGAATTCGATATTTACCACACTTCTCGGTTCTACCAGCAAGATGGTGTTGGATCGTGGTCTTGGATGAAGAGCGCTCGCAGCCTTCCCCCAGTTGCTGCTCGTGGATATTGGCTATCTTTCGTGCGCTGCCTCGGCTGCTCGTGTCGCACCGAGGGAAGAAGTGCTGGTCACACGCATTCTGTCTGAGAAATGAGGACCGCCACTGCTACTCGGTTGCTCATGGTGCTGGGGTCAAGCTCTGTTTGAAGTATTTTTAGGCATGTGGTAACCGAGTTACCCGACTCTGGTCATTCTCAAAGGAAGGTTTTTCGGAGCTTTGTTCACTACCTAGTCGTCAAAATCACATAACTGAAAAGAAGGTCCTACACATTCTACTCACTTGATGGGAATTGATTGCACGCAATTAAAAGAATCTAAGAGCAAATGATGAGAAATGCAAGATTGGAAAGAAAGATCGAAACTTTAGTTGCACGGAGTGTCCATAACTCAACAAAAATGAAAGAAAACATGCGAGCATAGTGATCCTAGGTAGCCAAACACTAGCTATCTACACTAAATCATCACGCTTGAAACAAAGTCGAGACCTTTACTAGATTAGCACGTATTGATTCCTAACACATGAAACAAACAATGAGAATAAAGCAAAAACCTAGAAACGAGCATCAACACACAATTCAAAAACAAACTCGAAGTAGTAAGTCCTAAGTAAGGTACTTACTCTCCTATCGCGTGCCCGAACGAAAATAATGAAGAAAGCTCAGAACTTAGATAAAAATAAGCATGTCGGAATTTCGCTGGAAAAATAGAGTTATGAACCTCCAACTAAAACATAAAAATAAAAGAGAAAAAATTGAGAGGATTTCCCAACTTAAAAGTTGGGAAACGAGGGTAGATATCTCAAAAATACAAAGCACAATGTCTATTAGCTACACCATAACCACATACACTAAAAACACACACATTTAGTAAACTGAACGCGCAACGTTGCGAAATGAGGTTTAGGCTGCGAATTGTGGACCTGGCATGAGAATAGGCACGCGCAACGTCGCGAAAATGCATTGGGGTCGCGAACATGGACTTGGCACTGGCAAAGGTACGCGCAACGTTGTGAAATGACACTGGGGTCGCGAAATGTGGACTTGGCATTTGTACAGAAACGTGCATCGTTGCGAAAGCACATTGGGGCTGCGGATTGGGTCTGGCAGCGTTGCGAAATCACATTGGGGCCGCGAATTGGGCCTGACAGCATGATCGCGGGTCTGACCTAAAGAATCTCCCGGGATGGCTCGAAACGGTTCGAGTGGTTCGGACGGCTCGGAAATGACTTGAAAATGGCACGTTTTCCCAAGCTTTCTCAATATGGACCTAATCAACACCAAAATAAACGAGAAAATACGACAAAACATAATAACACAAACTGAAAGCAAAAATACACAAAGGACAATAAAAATGGACCGGTCGACACTAAAACGAACTTAAAAAGACTCGACTAAGGCACATAAAATACACGAAAATAAGCACAAAACACAGTAAACAGGCTCGTTGTTGCTGCTTGAGCTGGAGGCCTCACGGTGCTCGCGTGTTGTTGACGCCAGGACAGACCCAGACTGGAAATTCGACTTCCCTCGGCAACACATGCGTGGATCTCAGAGGCTCCTCGTCAGATTACTCGCGGTGGTTGTCGTGCGTCGCTACTCATGCGCTAGCTTGTGGTGGCTAACGCAATAACGCATGGTGGTTGTTCGCGCGTCAACTAGATGGCTCGGTCTGATGCGCTTGCAACTCACAGCTTCTGTGGCATCTTCGGTGGATGGGTGTTCCCGATGGGTTGATCGGAGGCTACTCAAAAGCAGAAGGTTCTCTGGCTACTGGTGCTCGCGACTCTCGAGCAGGTGTTATTCACAAGCGGGGGTAACGTGTGGTGAACGGACACCGATGGCTATTCGCGGCGGTCGCAGACCTCAATGGCTCGCAGACGGAGTTCCTCGGCGACGGCTACGTGCATCGCTGCTCCTCTGCTAGTTGCTCGCGGCTCGCGGTAGGGTGGCGCGCGCTCTCTGGGACTGCTTGTGTGCGGCTGAGTGAAGGCCGAAATTTTGTGAGAAGGGCCAAGTGTTTGAGAGAGTTTTTCTTCTTGTTGTTCAACGCTAACATTTCAAATCTTCAAGCTGTGTGTGGGGGCGTAGGAGTAGAGGAGAACAACTAGAGTTTTCTTGAGGGGCAATCAAGGAAATATGAGGTGATATTAATACCATAATTAACACTCATTAAGGCACATGTATGGTCGGTCAAATGAGGTCATGAATAACTGAAAAATTCATACCATAATTAGTTTTAAAGGGTTTGAAATTCAAACTCAAAAGTGGAGCCAAGGAGTACTCATGCATAGGGTCGGGTTCTTAAGTGCAATGGGCCGGGTTGATTGCACTAAAAGGGCCGAAAGTTGATGCACTACAAGGGTTGGTCAAGATTTTTTGATTTTTGTAACTAGACAACAAAATGCCGTATTCTTTCTCGATCTGTTGTGACTTCCAGCTGACCCTTTTGTTTTGGAACCATATGGTTACCTGTCTGGACTGCAAGCCCAGCTCCTTCGCCAGCTGGGCCTTCTTTCTGGGCTCCAGCTTCGTCTCCAACTCGAAAGTCACCTCCAAGGACCGTATTTGTTCTTCGCTATACCTTCTCTTGTTCTTGCTCTTTTTTCTTCTCCACCACTCTGAGTACTCGGCCACATCCAACATCTTGAGAAAATTTCGTATATATTGCTAAAGAAGATCAACTAATGATAACGTTTTCTATGAGAAACAACTAATGATAAGCAAATAGAGATCAAATATATTGGTAAAGAAGACCAACTAGCATCACGAAACGAAAGCACTACGGAGACCAAGATTTAAGACTCTACAACATAAGTTCGGAGTTGCCGAATGAGCATCAAGGGCTTGGAGTGTTAATTAAATACCATGAGAGTCAATATCTTCATTCCTTCTTTTTGTACAAGTATTTATATGTATACCTTAGAAACTCAAAATCACAAAAATCTGGAGTAACGGCCAACCAACAAACAGAAGAACAAAAAAACCCCAAATTTTTCACCCCATCCGAGACTTCGACTGGCATGGATATATAGCTACAAGAAGGTGATCAAATCTGGTGGCTCCTGCTTCACAACAAGAGGTGTCCCGAAAGGATTTTTGGCCCCCAAATCGTCGTCAAACTTCTCCCAATTATTGGTGATTATCGTCCTCAGCCCACTAACACTATTACCTGTAATTGCTTCTTCGGGCTCCCTGACGACAATCAACTCGAGTTGATGCACGTTGGGTTTGTCGTCAAAGTTGTTGATTATCTGCTCGAGCTCCCGAATGCCCTCATCCGGGATACGGTCGATGACTGGGAACTCGGTGACATTGAGGACTCCAATCTGGTGGCAGAACTCCAAGTAGAAGGTTAGGTCCTCCCCCTGTTGAGTCGCCTTCTTGACGATGCTGAGGGCCGTGGACGCTTCGGCCTTCCCACCCGAGTAGATGTTGATGAGGACGAGGGCGATCCCCCTGCATATCTGGCTATAGAGACTATAGATCTCGATGATGACGGTGTCCATGACTTGGAGGACGAGGGAGGCCGAGGCCTGGGGCTTGATCTGCATCACCAGATCCACCAGCGCCTGGAGCTTCTGGAGCAGATCGAGCTCGTGCCCGATGGAGAAGCCGTCGGTTGCATGGTGGTGGAAGACGACGCTGGACTTGTGGTCGAGGAAGGCAAAGTAGGCGCGCACCAAGGAAGTGAAGGGCCAGGACTTGGAGGGTCGGGAGTGAGCGTCGTAGAATGCGGAGAGGTCGAAGGGGAGGCGGCCGATTCGGCGGACGGAGGGAATGTTGGTGTTGAGGAGGCTGTGGAGGAGATGGAGGCCCTTGAGGGCGACGGGCCAGCTGCGGGTGCGCTCCAGGCGGCGGGAGAGGGACCAGAGGACGGGCTTCAGATTGGAAGGGGAGAGGCGGACCCAGTCGCACACGCGATCCACGTGACGGGAGTCCAAGGTCAGGTCCTGGTGGGTGGTGGCGCGGATGACAGCCTTCTGGATGTCCGGGTTGCGGAGGGCGGTGCGCCGGGACAGGCTGGCTTGCCACAGGCTGTTCTGGTCCTTTACCGCGCCCGAGGCCCGCTTCCAAACTCTCATTTCTGATCACCGAGCGTCTTTTTTTTTTTGTCCTCC